ATATAAAACATGACTAAAATAAATTTTTAGGTTTTGAAAATGAATAAAAATAGGTTGGAACATGTTTATGCTTATTATAATTACCGTTACTATCACATCTTCTAAGATGCAGTGCTTAATTTATCTGTCACTATAGTTCCTGGTAAGCACTTACATTTTGTAGTTAAAAGTTTGATTTTTGAGTCTTTTGGCTACTTACTTATATGATTTGAGGCAAATAACTACTATATCTGTCTATGTCTGTGTTCTCATCTGTGAAGGAGAAAGGTAGATCTCTAGTGAGAAGCAGATATAATAAAGGTCTAGTACTTCCTACTTAAGTGCTCAAAACATAGTATTTTTTCCTGAATGTATTTCTATCTATATTAGTATGAACTTAGTTTTTTTTAAAAGCAAAGAGGTTCATTCAAATTTTTTGATCTTCATTTATAACAAGTATTTTTTAGCTTATGTACAGAAGGAATTATGAAAGGTATGTACACAGTGAACAACTTGGGTTCTGCTATTATTTTATTTCCAAGGTCTCAAAATACTCTTGTTTCAAAATCTGAGAACTTTCTGTGAAATTGAGATTTCATTAAAAAAGAGTGTTTGAAGGAAGAGTAGAGGATTGCAGATGTGAGGACTGGGAGGTAGAAATAGTGTGTAACTTTTGCCAATATTCATAATAAAAGGAGGAAGTAGGAAAGTGATTTAGATGCTATAGTTAGAGCATTATGCTATCTGTTACTGTTCGTTTTAGAGCAAGAAAACTGGAGCCTGGCGTTAACAAGAACATAGATCTCAGAAGTGTATTTCTATACTTAATATTTGGTATAGAAATCCGCTGGTGGTTCAGCGGTGTTTAAGACATGTAATCTTGCCCTGGTCAGTGTAGCTCAGTGGTTAGAGCGTCAGCCTGCACACCTACAGCTCTCAGGTTCCATTCTGTTTATGGGCAGGTACTCCGGCCATAGGTTCAATCCCCACCCTGGTCGGGCATGTGCAGGAGGTAACCAGTCACTGTGTCTTTCTCATATCAACGTCCCTCTCTCTCTTCCCCTGCCTTCCACTCTCTCTAAAAATCAATAGAAAAAAGATCCTCTACTGTGGATTAACAAAAAGACATGTAATCTTTAAACTTTACACATGTCTAGTTCTCAGTGTTATGTGAAGAGGAATCATAGTGCCAACATAGTTGTTGAGGTCACGGAGCACTGCATATTATCATTTCTGATGACCTGCAGGACATTTTGTCTTGAATATCTTGTCATGATCCTAAACAGTAAAATTAAATGCATTGAAGTCCCCCAAAGTCTCCCTCCAGAGCTTCCCCAAGTTCTCTCAGTGATTAGTACCATTCTTCAGGGCTAGAGACCACTATCAACTTCAATCTACTCTTTTTCTCTTGTGGTAAAATTATTTTGAAAATATAATTTTGAACCTGTGAAGGGCTTTGATTATGTATTTAAAAGTCCCACTTGACATAAACTTGGCTTTATAACAAGACTGTTTGATTCAGAAAACATACCTAGCTGATGCTGTATGTGAGATTGTCGTTAGGGACAATTCAAGTTTCTAAGTGGTCAGTGTGAATTACTAGGAAATACCCTAAATGAACAGCAGGATTCATAGTGGGAAAGGAAGGTGGTTTTTCTATATGAGTAGTCAAAGTTACTGTTTTAAAATCTAAAAAATGAAAGTCCTATGTATGTTTCCATAATCCCTTTCTCCTAACACAAGGAGGAAAACCAGGAGGCAGCATCTTTTGGTTTGATATGACAGATTCAGAGCTTTTTCTACCTGTTCAATCAGACATTCCATGAGCAAGACTCAGGGGATAGTTTCAGGGACTTTAAGTCATATCAGAAAACTTGAGTGGATCTGGCAGGGTTCGAGACTGAAAAGGCTAAGCAACAGAAATAAACCAGAGGCAAGGGCTGAGTTGCTAACAGCTGACAGGCAAGAGGTCACACAGTGTAACATATAGATTATTAGGACGATAATGCCAAATTGTATTCAATTGCTTGTTTTAAAATATTTTGCTCTATTCATAATATCTTTGGATAAAAATAGCTACATTTTTTTGTCATTATGTGCAAGATGTTTAGGTAAATGTGGACCCTGTTGCTCCATCTTGGTCAAAAGTGAGATCTATATTAACAAATGATTAAAAAATACATAAAATTTACGGACCAATGTAATGAGCAGAGGCTTTTGTCTTCGTATTTTTAAATTGAATTTATTGATCTAGAGTTAGAATGAGATAGGGAAGAGGCCTTTATTTGTTTAATGTGCAGCCAGTGCACGTGAATGTTCTTGTAGTATCCAGACCCCATATCTTGTTCATGGTACCGAATCATCATCATCGTATTTCTATTGTCACGTGTATCATTCTTGGTTAATATCATAACTCCCAGTACAATAAAAAGCCAGGTCTTAGTACAGTGCCATGACTTTTTGGGAACTGTCTTTAAAAAATGAGTTTCTTGCCAGTGTGTTTTCAAATACAATTTTAAGTCTTTACATCATTCCTTCTGGTGCCGCGACATCTGTCATGCAATCTGTGTATGAACATTGTCTTCCAGCGTCTCCCAAAGTTTCAGTGCTTCATCGATCCTGTGACAAATCCATGGCTTAATCCGAATATGCAGGAAAACATGAACCATAATCATTTTCTGTTCACATTACATTTACTGTTTTTAATGTCATAACATACACAGAGGACTGTCTTCTCTCGGACTCTTCTGACTGAAATCACTGTTCTTAGAATACAGCCGCTTTCCATGTTGACCACAACTCTTTCACACACTGCCGCCAGAGATAAATATGTTCAGATTGACAAATGCACTCTTGTTTGCACCCCCAAAAAGGCTCATCCTTCCTCTATCAGGGCTCAAGAACAAGCATGATGTCACACATTCGCCAGAGGCAAGAGAGGACGTCAATATGAGTAGAAATTTTCTTACTTCAGCTCATACGTTATGGTCAAAAACACATGTATAAAGCTGAAAGCAATAGAAGTTGAAACAACTGAACCCTATTAAGTTTTATTTTTCAATTATAGTTTGCATTCATTATTTCGTATTTGTTTCAGGTGTACAGCATAGTGGTTAGGCAATCATATACTTTACAAAGTGTTCCAGTAGGCACCTGGCACCATACATACATAGCTACTCCAATAGTCTAGACTCCATTCCCTATGCTGGACTTTACATCCCCGTGACTATTTTGTAACCACCAGCTTGTACTTCTCATCCCCTTCACCTCTTTCACCCAGGCCTCAAACCTCCCTCCCCTTTGACTACCGTCAGTCTGTTCTCTGTGTCTGTATGTTTCAATTTTATTTTTGAACCCTATTAGCTCTTTAAAAGGGGGCTACTCATACAGTCTTACTGAATAAAATTAGGTTAGTAAATATTTAAAAGGTCATACATATGTATCTATGTACACATATACATGTGTACATATTTATATGACAAGCCTATGTTAGGAGTTTTTTTCCAGCAGAAAGAAGACAATTAGACGTATAGTTGCTGCGCTCAGAGGAACTTGCAGTTGGGAGGATGCAGAGATGCACAAGTGCACAAAGCACTTAGTGCTGACCTGGAGAAGTGGAGGAAGAGATGAAGGTTTTGGTGGCGTGTTTTTCCTAATATGCTTTAGATTGTCACAGCAAGATATACTACAAAGCATGAATTGTTTATGAATAAGAAATACATATACTGGATATCATGTTAGTGCCCTATTGCCAAAATTATTGCTTTCATAGCATGGTTAAGTGACCTCTGAGGATCCCTTGTTAAAGACCCGAGCCTTCTGTATAGACAGGTGGAGGGATTGAGTTGAGGAAACAACTAGAACAGTTGCTACCAAATATATACCTGATGCTTATGCCTCTCTTATACTCGGAGTGGGGGTAGCTTTTTTCTTCCTTTCTGTGGAGCATGCACAAGGATATTTCTAACAAAATGAACTGAACTTGAATGTTCAGTGGGCCATTCATTGTGGATAGCTTTGGAAAGAAGAGCTAATTTTTTCTATATCTTAGACTTTTTCTAGATTCAACACTCAAGGCTGCTATGAAAACCAGGTGTAGAGTTGGCCTCTCCCCTTCCTTCTTCCTGACTTTTAAGGACTGCTCACGAGTTTTCTCATTTTTCACGCACCATCTGTTATGGACCATAGATGTCAACACACTGTCTTGTCCACATCGAATGAAGCGATCTTATTGGTGGAAACCGTGCAGGTCAATCTACGAAAAACTATATAATTGCATGTACCCATAAAGCCTTGCAGTTACATTGTATTTTGGTCATTCGAATAGTCTTCGTCTTCAAGTTCCTGGCGCTTTTAGAAATGCCCTCTCTCAGAAAAGGGAAGGAAACCAACAAAACTGATACACTTCCGGAAGTATTTAACGATAACTTATATTCCTAGTGAGATCGAAGATGTGGATGACTGTTTTGACAATTCCGGAGACGATTCTACTGATTCTGACAGTGAAATTTTTAGACCTGTAAGGAAGCTCAAGATGGCAGTGCTTTCAAGTGATTCTGACACTGCCGAAGCTACTGATAATTGTTGGTCTGAAATTGGCACACCACCACGCTTACAAATGTTTGAAGGTCATGCTGGAGTCGCTACGTTTNGCTTACAAATGTTTGAAGGTCATGCTGGGGTCACTACGTTTCCGTCTCAGTGTGATTCTGTACCCTCTGTGACCAATCTCTTTTTTGGTGATGAATTGTTGGAGATGTTGTGCAAAGAGCTGTCCAACTATCACGATCAAACCGCAATGAAACACAAAACACCATCTAGAACACTAAAGTGGTCTTCGGTTACACAGAAGCACATCAAGAAATTCCGNATCTAGAACACTAAAGTGGTCTCCAGTTACACAGAAGGACACCAAGAAATTCCTTGAGCTAATTATTCTGATGGGTCAAACAAGAAAAGATAGCTTGAAAGACTGTTGTTCAACAGATCCTTTGATATGTACCCCTATATTTCCACAGACAATGAGTCACCATAGATCTGAGCAAATATGGACATTCNTGATATGTACCCCTATATTTCCACAGACAATGAGTCGCCATAGATTTGAGCAAATATGGACATTCTGGCATTTCAATGATAACGCCAAAATGGACAGTCGCTCGGGGAGACTTTTCAAGATCCAACCTGTGCTGGATTATTTCCTGCATAAATTTCGAACAGTATACAAACCAAAGCAACAGTTGGCTTTGGACGAGGGAATGATTCCATGGAGAGGACGTTTAAAATTTCGCACGTCCAACCCAGCAAAAATAACAAAATACAGTTTACTTGTTCGGATGGTGTGAGAGAGTGACACCGGCTATATCTGCAATATGGAGATATACACTGCTGAAGGAAAGAAATCGCAAGAAACTGTTCTTTCAGTCCTTGGACCCTATCTTAGCATATGGCACCATATTTACCAGGATAATTATTACAATGCTACACTACTGCTGAATTGCTGCTACAGAACAAAACTAGAGTCTTTGGGACTATTAGGGAGAGTAGAGGTTTACTGCCAAATTTGAAAATGAAAACATCAAGAATGAAGAAAGGTGACATAATATTTTCCAGAAAAGGTGATATTCTCCTAGCATGGAAAGACAAGCGGGTTGTCCGAATGATATCAACGATCCATGACACTTCTGTCTCAACAACAGGAAAAAAAAAATAGAAAAATGGGAGAGAATATTGTAAAACCTACCTGCATCAAGGAATACAATGCCCACATGAAAGGCGTTGACTGTGCGGATCAATTCCTTTCTTGTTGTTCCATTCTAAGGAAAACGATGAAATGGACAAAAAAAGTAGTGCTGTACCTTATAAACTGTGGACTTTTCAATTCATTTAGAGTATACAATGTCCTCAGTCCACAAGCAAAAATGAAGTATAAACAGTTTCTGCTGTCGGTGGTGAGAGACTGGATAACGGATGACAGTAATGAACGCTCTCCGGAACCAGAGACAAATCTGTCCAGCCCTTCCCCCTGGGGGTGCAAGGAGAGCACCTCGTAAAGATCCACCCAAAAGGTGGTCAGGTGATATGAAGCAGCATGAATCTATGTGTATTCCAGTGAGTGGAAAGAAAAAATTTCCTACAAGAGCCTGCAGAGTTTGTGCCACCCATGGAAAAAGGAGCAAATCTAGATGCTTATGTAAATTTTGTTTGGCCCCTCTTCATAGAGGAAAATGTTTTACACAGTACCACACGTTAAAGAAGTACTAGGAACTTTAATTGCTTAATTGTTTTGTAAATAAAAATGTTATAATTATTGAAAAACAACACCTAAAGTGCATTATGATCTGTAGTTATGATTTAAATAACGTGCAGTTAGCCCAAAAACATGCGGTCCCTGGTGTATGTCTTAGAGATTTCTATGTGGTACGCAATGTGTTGATATACTTATTTTCTTTCCTTTGTAACATACTTTCTTAAAGTTGTCCTTAATATTTCATATTAGCCTAATTTTATCTACATAATATTAGGTGCGGGCTAGGCAAGAGGTCATACCCCATAATTTGTTTAGCAACCCCCCAGTGGATGGCTCTCTATAGTAAAATTTTATAGCCCACAAAACTTGCAAAATATTCTGACAATTTCAGAGGCATGTGACTGGGTACATTTAGCCACATTTGGGATTAAAATAACCATTCAGACCATTAATATTATTTTTTCCTTTGTCCTCAGGATAGTAAATCTTTGGAGGTAATTGTAGCTAAGTGTTTATTTCCTAGGAAGAGCATTCCCTGTGGATTTGTAACAGCAACTTCACTACTAAACACTCTCCTATTCTCAATCATAAGTTTTTTTGTTATTTTTTATGAAATAAACGTGGTCATTCTAAACCAAAATTAGAAAAGAATCTGTTATTCTTTAAACTGCTTTCTATCCCCAAAGCAAATAGCCCCACATAATAGGCAAACCCGGACACAAAGGGACTGTGTGGTATCTTGCTTAACAGACAAAGACAACTGCAGGACTGCCAGGAGGCAAATTTGCATCCTGTTAAGAATAGCAGGGAGTATTTTGGTTCTCAGCAGCCCAGCACCACTTGTGGTTTGTTAGGAACACCAGACAAGTCTGCTCAAGCCTGTGGATTTTTTTGGGCGAACGGAAACAAGTCCCTTCTGTTCTTTTCTTGACTGGAATGCTGACATGTGCAATACTTGAAAATTCAGACCATTTTGTCGGAGTCAGCAAGAGTTGACCTTGGCACTTAGAAGAAACTATTTCAGTGGTACAGCAGTGGCACAGCGTCCGTTTGTGTTAGCAGAAGGTATATAATCGTATTTAGAAATGTGAGACTTTCTGGCTCTGTGGCTCTCGGGGTGACATGAGTACAGTGTGGTAGGTGAGAAATGGTGGTTTGTTAGCTGCTATATTTCTTCAACGTTGCAGAAGTGGTAGATGAGACAGTGCTATTCCTTGTATTAAACTTACAGGATGTAGGTCAAGAAATACCATCTCCTATTAAAATTATAACATGAATCTTCTATTATAATTCTTCGTGTGTTTCACTAGTGCATCACAAATTTGGACCTTGCCAAGTCTGTGGCTGTGGTTTGCTCTTCAAGTGCCCACGCTTCTATTTCTCTCGGCTACCATGAGCGCAAGTGCCGCTCAGTGGAAAATGGAAGCAAAAATTGACCGTTAAGGAGTTAGGGCCAGTGGCAGTCACTAAGGAGAACCGCATACTCTAGAATTTTGTTAGGGGAGAAGCCATTTCAGTGTTGGAGCCGGAGGGCTGTTGGTGGTCAGAGTGGTCGCCTGAGTTCCACAAATCTATTTGGTTCTAGATGTCTTGCTGGTTTGTTTCCGTTGTGGTTTTGTTTTGTTTATATCATACAGGGTGGGGCAAAGGTAGGTTTACAGTTGTATGTGAAACACAGCATTTGCTCTTGTATTATTATTTATTAGCTATTGTATTTTCCATACAAACAACTGTAAACCTACTTTCGCCCCACCCTGTATGTGTCCGACTTCTCTCTCAGGCTGGATTTTCCAGGGAACAAATACTATTAATGTCTGGAGAAAATGCATTTTTTTTTTTTTTTAACCACACATTAACTTTAGTAGGAGTTTATTCTATAGGACTGTGTATAAGGGATGTTGCCTAAATGCAGAAACATTTTTATTGTGCTTGATTTTTTTTTTCTTTCTTATCCTCACTGGAGGAAATATTTATTGATTTTAGAGAGAAAGGAAGCAAGAGAGAGAGAGAAAGGAAATGAGAAAGAGGGAGGGAGAGAGAAACATCAATTGGTTCATCCTATACATGCCCCGACTGGAGACTGAACCCACAAACTTAGTGCACAGGACAATGCCCAACCAATCATCCCACCGGCCAGGGCTTACGGGTAATTTTTTATATGATTTTTTTCTCAATACTGAGAGTTCAAATCCAGTTCTAACTCTGGGAAAGCATTTTGTGTTGTGTTTTGAATATTTAATTTCACACACAGCCAAAGCTTTTAAGTAAATAGGGTTATTTTAGTGAGGCCATGAAGCTGTCTCTCCTATAAGCCATATTTTTAAGGAGGCCTTTATTGGATGTTGAATCATAATTCATTCTTATTTATGTTTTATGAAATGTGAAACACCAATATTCTTTACAGTTTGAAATGGGATTTTCCCCCCCCCAAAACTAGGCCTCTTGTTACCAAAGTCTGGACATTGGACTCTTTCTCAACATCAGGGAGCAAGATTTTTTACTTCTCTGTTGAGATATGCTCTTGATCTGACTGAAGGAATGCCAACCATCTCTCAGATAACTTGTTCAGGCTGATTCATGGGTAAATGTGGGTTTTGTAAAATTCAATGAAATCCTAGTTGCACTTGGCAGAAAAGTAAGATTTTGCAACAGACCAATCATATATATATCTAAAAAATTCTAAAAATATATTAAAAAGAATCATATTTAAAAATAATAAACCAAGTCCACCTGGGATTTTTTTTTATAGGGAAGTGAGAGAGATGTAATATTCAAAAACAAATTCTAACAAATGTACTAGGAATAGCGTAAGATGTTGGTAACGGGAAACTGAGAGAACTGTATATGTGAACTCTCTGTATTATCTGATCAATTAATCTCTACATATAAGACTCTACTAAATAATAAAGTCTATTCAAAAAGAGCTTCAGGTAATACTTGAAGTGTATACTTACAGTGTATTGGCATATTATGAACCCTGATTCAAACCAACTAACTGTAGGGATATTTGTGAAACTATCAAAAACTGAAACCATGACTAAATACTTGATAATAGGACATTCTTTTTCTTTTGTTGTGATAATGTGTAAAACAGCCTTTATTTTTTAAAGAGACACACTGAAATATTTAAAGGTAAAATGATGTGATGCCTGGGCCTTTCTCACAAAATAATCCAGTTGGGTTGGTGATTGTGGACATGTAGGTGACACAAGATTCCCTAAGAACTGATAATGTTGAAGTTGGATAATGACTACACAGGAGTTCACTGTACTATTTTAAAAATTTTCTTTATGTTTAAAAATTTCTATTTTTAAAGTTAAAATTTATTAGTGAGCTATGATGAGTAAATGAGTGCTTGTCCTTGGTAGACAAATACATTATTTCTTCTCATGAACTCACTGGTTCTACAATTGTTTAAGATGGCATTCTTGTATAACACAACCCTTTTATGTTCTCAAAACAATAGTAAAAAATTCTGATACAGTTTAACAAAAAAATTGGCATACAGGTGTGTTCATTGATTTGGGTTCAGGTGTCTCGTCTATTATGTTTATTACTTACGTTAAAATAATAGCCATTGAACCCTTTTCCCTCAGATCAGCTGCAATGAAAAGAATATGGTGAGATATGTGGAAACAAATCAATTATTTTCTGTATCACTTTTCCAAGTACATCCAATGCTGCAATCAAAAGTGATTTAAACACTTAGTCTTGAGTTGATTCATCTAAAAATTTCAAAGTTAGATTTTTTACAAATTAATCTTAGCTGCTAAGATTGTCTATTGAAACATGTTCCTTCTAATTTAAAAATTATTCTGTACCATAAAACTTACACGTATTTAAGTTAAATACTTACTGGTGACATGGCAGACAACATATTTCTACTGAGGCAATGCTCCAAAAACTCACTCAGATTTTGATTAATCGTAGTTTTAAAAATTGCCTCAGTCAATGGTGACCTTGACAAAGTTCCTGCCTTTCTAATGTACAGCTTTAGTAAGCAATGCTTTATTCGTGTCAATGTTGAGTACTCCCCCAAGGTTGTATTCCATTGCTAAGTAAAGCCACTTAACCGAACAGAAGCATCTATTTCTTTGGCCATATCTGACTAACACAGGGACCTAACATCAGGAAAATATATATGAAGAACATTGCATTTGGCTAAAGGTAGTAAAGGCAAATTGTATTGTACCTTAGGACTTTGGGCTTAAGGGAAGATATTTGTAATAAATAGAATTGCCAGGCAAACATTTTAGTTTTATTAAACTGGTTTTCATGAGGACTCTTTGGAGATGATGTGCATATATTTTATGGCTTACAGACCAATTGAGTGGAAGGGGGAAGTGTCGTGTCCCACAGAGTCCTTGGAAGGCACTCATGTTGGCAGCCACTCTGACTTCTTCCTGGTACCAAGCTGACCTATCATTGCTTTTTAGAGTGAGCAGCTTTCTAAACAAAATTCT